TTTGTCAATTGCTCAAAAAGATGAAAAATGTTCAGATACAAGTACATTGTAGCTCCTGATATCAAAAATAGATTTGAACGCTTGAAAAAAAATTGTTAGCTCATAGACGGTTTTAAGGTATAAATTAATTGGCTTTCACTGTTTTCAAAAGTTTATAATACCATGTTAATATCTGAGACTTTTATGCAGGACAAGTAATTATCTATGAAACAATATATACATAATATAGTATTCATCATGTTCAGCCTTGGCATTATTGTTCTTGCTCAGTAGCTGACATTTTGTAAAAGATACGATTTATAATCTATGACAGCTATCAAACACATTATATGAAATGTACTGTCATGACTGTGGATTCATTATTATTCGTGGGAAACCAATTTTCATGGATTTTTATGTACACAAGAACCACAAATTCAAATCTTCAACAAAATGTAATTTTCTATAGGCTTGTATTCAGAATTATACCACAAAATAAAAAACTCCACAAATTTACAATTTTTCTTTAATCTACAGAACTTTGTATCCATGAAAATAAATGAATCCAAAGTACATCAATAATTATCAATCAAAAGCAAAGTTTTGAAGATTTGTTCTTCATATTTGCATTGATTTACCTATAGTGTTGGATTTTAACTGGGCTTCAATTGCATCATAATGAGTAGCAAATTTATTCTGTATGTTGCCAATTTTAAGTTCTTCTTCAATTTTTTTCTTCTTTGCTTCTACTTCTTCCTGTTCTTTTTGTCTTTTCTTCATAAGAATCATTGCTCTTCCTCCTTCTGAGGCTGCTCCCTTGTAATGTGCCATGGTTCTTTGGTAGTAACTTCTACGAAATATAATATTCTGTTTAATAAAACAATGAGAGTGTTCTGTTTGGATGTCATGAAGTAATTTAATTATAATTCAAAACCAATTGTTCAGAGAACAATTGAAGGTCTTTCCACAGCAATTTTTAAATTTATTGAAAAGAAGCTAGTTTGTGTTTACTCAAAGTTAAAATTGGCATCTTATCATCAGTTTCTTCATACTGATGCAATAAATAAGTGGTTTCTATATACTTCTGAGTGAAATAAGGGAGATAATTAGCTACTTCCGGTGAAGTAAATGTCACTTTCGGTCTCATATAATAGTTTCTTTCACACTGATTCCAAAAATATATAGTTTCTATATACTTTTGCTTGTAAACCACGAGATAATTGGCCACTTCCGGTTTATCGAAAGTCATTTCTAGTCTTCAGTGATAAGTTAATGTATTAAAATTACAAAATATATAGATTCCGAGTACTTTTCCATGAAGAAAGTGCAAAAATGGCTACTTCCAGTTTTCTCAAGGTCACTTCTGGTTGTCATTTTTCAAGGTCATATGTCATCCAACCTTTAGTATAAGGTCATATGGCTTTATAATGAACCAATGAAGTAATAATCAATTAACCTTATAATTAGACATTTCAGGGGCACTAACTCCTATAAGATGCCATTAGATTGTTTCAAACCAAATGTAACATATCTTCATTACAATAAAGCAAACATTTTGCACTTGTTCTTTCATATATATCTTTAAAAGTGTTTAAGAAAATGCAAAAACAAGGAAAAGTTAAAATTGAGAACTTGACCTTGACCTTTGACCTTGACCTCATTTGCTAAGTTAGGACCTAGGGACCTCAAATAAAAAGATTCCAGGGTTATACGGTTAACGGTTTATGAATTAATAAATGCTTCGCTGAGCACAGCCTTATACGACTGTAGAGGTCGAACCCTGAACAGTTGGGGCAAATTTGGACACAATATTCAAGCTTGATACTGTCTGAATTTGGATTGTGATCAAATTTTTGACATAATATAGGTTTCTGACACAAAACAAATGTGGTCAAAGATCTTACAAATCTATTGGGCAATACTGTGCAATTGAAGATTTCTTCTTGAAACTTTTCAAAAATTCAAAATTTGAAAAATTTTGAAAAAAAAAATATGAATCCTTTAAAAAAATTGTTAACAAAAAATCCCCCCCCCCCCAACTTATTGAAACCCCCCTTGGAGCAATAACTCCAAAACTCAATCCCAGCCTTTCCTTTGTAGTATGGAATCTTGTAGTATAATTTCAGAGAGATCCATACACTTAAACACAAGTTATTGTCTCGAAACTAGAAAAATGCTTCTTTTTGGCCCTTTTTTGGCCCATAATTCCTACATGTTTGGCAAAATTAACCCCAAACTCAATCCTAACCTTCTCTTTGTTATATGGAACCTTGTGGTACAATGTCTGAGAGATCCGTTCACTTACACACAAGTTATTGACCGGAAACTAGAAAAATGCTTGTTTTTGGCCCCTTTTTGGCCCTTAATTCCTAAACTGTTTGCCCCATAACCCTTAAAATAAATCCCAACCTTCTACTTGTGGTATTAAACATTGTGGTAAATTTCAGAGCAATTGCAATATTTATACACAATTTATTGTCCTGAAACTAGATAAATGCTTGTTTTGGACCCCTTTTGGGGCCGTAATTCCTAAACGGTTGGGACCATCATCCATAAAATCAATCCCAACCTTCCTTTTGTGGTATTGATCCTTCTAAAAAAATTTCATAGAGATCCATTCACTTAAACTAAAGTTATTGTCAGGAAACAAATGTGTCTTCGGACAACGATGCAGACGACGACGACATCATGCCATTATACGATCCCAAAATTTTTTTTGCGGTCGTATAAAAAAACATACCGACAAATTTATTTGATAAAGGTAGATAACTCCTTTAAAATTTCATCGAATCGCTTCAATCCAAATTAGCCCAAAATTCCTGAGGATGTAACAAACAATTTAGAAAAAGAATTTTGTCGATACATGTATCTTTTTTTGTTACGAAGGAGATGCACATACTTGATAAACAGTGAATAGGGAGATAACTCTTACAAAGAAAATTGTTCGGCTTAGAATGGGTGAAAATAAAAAGCGCATATGCTGTATGATACTATATAAGAAATATCTTAGCGACATATTGCGAAACAAAAATTTTACTCGATAACAAAATTTGGAGGAAGAAAAAAATAATAATCAGAACAAATACAATAGGTCTTTCCACAGAAAAGTGGAAAGACCTAATAATAATAATAATAAGCATAAGCATATCGGAGAATTCAGCAACAAAACTTAAGTCGGTTAAAAGGTTAATAAATCTAATTAACATACATGTAACCGTAGGTACAAATATTACTGTTATGTTCGCCATTAATCAGTTCCTCACCCAACATAGAATTCCGACAAAAAGTGTCCAACGTAACAATAACTTTTTTTGTTATTGTTACGTTTCAACGTAATCGTAGCAAGTACCTAAAAGGTATATGCCATAATATGGATACAAAAAAATTCAGAGAAAAGTGCCTGTGGTCAGGGCCCAATTATATTTGGTCAGGACATAAGTGTCATGAGTGTAACCCTTATTGTACTGTGGATCGGTTGTTGTGGAAAATCACTTACAATCAAAAGCTCTTAACAGTTTTCAGGACAGACAAATAACTTTCAGGAGGTACAAGTTTTCAGAACTTTTACGAAAAAAAACAATAATGCATGGTCGATTTGAAATTTATTTTTTAACACAGATTTGCCTGATAATAAACGCGAGTATGACGAAGAAACTGTTCTTTCGATAAATAATTATTTTGCGCTTTATCTTATTTTAGTAGAATAAAATCAGAGTACATTCGAATAGAATATTTTAGCGTTCATAGAAACATGGATCTCGTTCAAAGACTGAAACAAAAAGTAACTACAGAACCACCTCCTGTTGATATAACAGAAAATTTACAGACTTTACAATTTGAGAGTGCTTTAACAGAAGAAGAAAAAGCCTTACTTAATTTACGATTTAGGTCACATGCATTGACAGTTACAGCATGTGCACAAGCAACATACCTCACAGTTGTTCTCAATGCATACTTGCCAACCTCTGACAATGAGAAATCATGTCATGACATGACATGACATGACATGACATGTCAAAAAGCGTGTGAAAACACGTGACGTAGATGCAGACTTTTTAATATGAACAATGTTCATAATTTCACATTATACAAATTTGTTAATATAAAAAACAATATTCTACTATAAACTTTTATTGTATTCAACAGTGGTCTGTTTTGCTGCTTTTAAAGCAACACCACTAAGTACAAATTCAAAACAACTGCCAGTTTGGTTACATTTACTTGATAACAAGGCACACAATATATCATTGTCAAGTTCTGATCAGAATTCAGTGTGAATTTCTTTATAATTGAAAATGCTCTCTCACAGTCAGAATTTATATTGGCTGAACTATAATAGCTCTATCAAGCTTTGAAAGAGTGTCATAACGTTTTTTTGCCATCTAAAATGTCATCTATTATCTCTGCCATTACTCCCAACAAACTATATATGTTGCTATTGCCTGGTCAAAACTAGGTAGTTTATCAGAAGACAGCTGGTACTATGAGAACTGATCCAACAGTTCCGTGATATTTCCATCCTCTATGGCCTGTGGAAATCTGTTGGCTAGATTTAATACTGAAAAAGAAAAATATTTCATTATTTGATTACCATTAAACACGTTAAATGCTTAATCAAATAGCTATATTGTAGTTCTCCTCTCACATGTATTGTTATGATTGCAACATAGGGTGTACAATGCGTTACTCGTCCCTCGATCATTTGTAATCGAACTCTCAAATATAATTTATAAATCTCAGTGAATCTTAGACGTACACATCGACATCGTTTTTACTTAACAATCGGCTCTTTAGACGACAGTACAGGTCCTGAAAGCGACCTCTTTCTGTGGACATTTCCCCTACGTAAATTTGAAAGAAAGAAAGTCACAAAATCGTAAAAACTAATCACAAACTACTTACCTTAAGTGCTTTTTGCTGTTCGTCCATATAGAAAAATAAACAATTACTTCGAAATTTTCGGCATTTATCGTCTTATAATGAAAAAACCCGAGAATCGTGATATCACTAACGACCAAAAAATGAAAACAACGAAAAAGCGTGTAATTGCGTGTAAAGTGGTGAAAAGCGTGTACACGCCAAGTGACAAAATCCTCGCGTGTAAACCGTTGAAAAAGCGTGTATTACACGCGAATATCATGTCAGTTGGCATCTATGTCTCAATGAAGCAAGGTATTTTCAGATTTAAAAACCCAAAACATTATTAAACAATCATATTGCCCAAATACTAGCAAATTAATTACACAATTTTATTATCACTACATAACAGAAAATGCATGAAATAAAAAAGGGGGAGGGTTGAAATCGATTTACAGTCATTTAGTACTCTAGTTGCGGAACTACAATGTATATATGGTCCGCAATATGTCAAAAGATTACATAAGGACCTACTTGAGCTACGGTTCCGCAAATTGTAAAAAAATATCATATAAAGGACCTAAGCGCTATGGTTCCTCAGCTATTCGAACCCTAACTATTTTGTACCCCATTTCATACCTCATGGAATATTTCTATGTATGCCATTTCGTACCTCATGAAAAATGTTTATGTATGCCATTTGGAATATTAATACGTATGTACATGTAGTTTCATATCTCATGGAATACTTATATGCATACCATTTCGTACCTCATGGAAGATTTGTATGTATACCATTTCATACATGTACCTCATGTAATATTTATATTGTGTATGCAAATTATTCATACCTTATGGAAGAATTATATGTATACCATTTCATACCTCACAGAAGATTTATATGTGTGCCATTTCATTCCTCACAGAAGATTTATATGTATACCAGGGGCCTCATTGGATGAGTGGTCTTACTCTTAAGTAGTCAAACTACTGTATCACTAGCCAGACAACACTGAGGTTGTGAGTTCTAATCCCACACGTGGCAAGTGTGCTCAACTCCAATCTTAATTGACTAAGATTGTTAGTTTTCCTACCGAAGGTCGGTGGTTCTCTCCAGGCACTCCTGCTTCCTCCAGTAATAAAACTGACTTCCACGAAATAGCACAATAGCTCTGAAAGTGGTGTTAAACATCAAACAAACTATATGTATGCCATTTCATTCCATATTTCTCAATTATTGGTAACATAAGGGGCAAATTCTTTGATTGGTCACACAAGGTGCAAATTCTTATGCAAACATTTTTTGTTTTTGTTTTAAAAAATTTCCAATATAGATGTTGGGACAAAATTTCAACAATTTACAAATATATAATACGAAAGAGTAAACATGTAGTCAGTCTATGAGGTACGAAATGGTAAATGAAGTTGACCCATTGGGTAGGAAATGGTTTTGATCATGGGTACAAAATGGTAAATGAAGTTGGCTCATAGGGTAGGAATGGGTACAAAATGGGCCATATGGTAGTGGTAATTGTTGGGTACGAAATGGTAAATAAAATGGTCAAGGTACGAAATGACTTCAATTTTGATGTCATTATATGACTTCGTGGTAATTTGTGATGCCAAACAGACAAAGAAATGAGTTTAAGGTGTTTTTATTAAAATTTACAAATTAAAAAAAAATAACGACACAAAACAATTTGACATCATTTGTTTTGGTTTATATCCTAAAAGGGAGCTCAAAAGTCTTGAGAAAACAGCAAGTCAACCAACAATCATTGCACAACTTAGTCTTGTTAGGAATTGATATGTTCATTTTAAGTTCACAACAAAATTTAGGAGAACAGTTGAAGTATCTCCAGCATGCACATCCACATCAATTTCTCAGAAAGTAATACCCATACTGATGATACAGCAACATATTTTGGGGAGACTCATATGTCATTATGACTTACAGTTCAGCCTTTATTACTAAATTCACTATGAAATAAGGAGATGTGGAATGATTGCCATGTGACAACTATCCACCAAAGACTAACATAGATTAAAGTAAAGTTCTAAAGGTTGTATAATCTGCTATAAAAGGCCTCAAAATGACCAAAATGTGAGACAATTCAAGCAAAAAAAAATCAATAGCCTTATTTATGACAAAAACAATAAACAAAAATCAAATATAACTGACAGCAACGAACGAAAAACCACTTAATTACAGGTTATTGACTTGGGACAGACACATATAGAAAGTGGTGAGTTAAACATGTTTGTGAGCACTCAATGCTCACCTAATTATAACCTTGTCAGGAAGAGTGGTACAACAGCACAACATAAGATAAATTTGTGAAAATAAATTGGAAATGGCTTGACTCATCAGATTGGCATGATACACAAAAAACAACTAACATAAGTACTAAAGACACAAAGTACCAGTTTTAGAGTACTCACATGTACAGCTACTTAGTTCAAAGCCAATAACTAGTTATGAAATAATTTAAAAAATCATGTTCTCCCAGACTAGTAAAGTTCAGATTTCAGATACTAATTTATAAGTGATCTTTTATCATAAAAGAGAGGCGAACGATACCACAGGGACATTCAAACTCATAAGTAAAAAATAAACTGACAACTCCATGGCTAAAAAAGAAAAAGACCAACAGACAAAAAATAGTACACAAAACACAACATAGAAAACTAAAGACTGAGCAACACGAACCCCACCCACCCATTAAACTGCATGTAAGTATGCATACCAGTAGGTGTAGCAGATTCTTATTAATAGTTGATTTCTCTTATCTACAGTTTATTCATTATTACTTGTAGGCTATTAGTTTTCAAAGATTTCATTATTTGAGGGAAACCACACATTTATAAGTGTTCAACAAAATAAATTTCATATAAAAGATATGCATGCAGAGTTTGTTGAAAAATCAAGTATCTAGAAAAATATTAATTTGCTTTAATCCATGAAAATTGGTACCTACCAAAATAAATGAATCCATAGTATATAATTTATTCTTGATTGACTTTGAATTAGTTTTAAAACCATTTTAAAACTCAGATACCTACATTTTTGAGATAACTTTTATTATACAACTTTGTGTAATAATACATTTTTGGGAAGTTTTGCAGATTAGCAGCTCCTGTAAAATGTAGGTCACTGTTACTTACGTATTTTATGTTTCATCAACTTCAAATAATTTCAGATCCCAGATACTAATAATCAAGTTGCTTGGTGGAAGTCAATAAGGTTTAAAATTTTGGAAGAGTCAACAGAAAGTTATGCCATTAAATTTGATCTCAGTAATTTATAAATTTCAGGCAGCTAAGGCGACAAATCAAAAGTCCACAGAAGAAAACTGCAAAAATTATGCAAGACAGAGAACCTAAAGATCAAGTGAAGGTTGGAATACTTGGCTGTGGTCGACTAGGAAGTCAGTTAGCACATTGCTTGTTAACTTATGGTGGTGTCAGACCAAAGGACCTTAAAGTTTCTACAAGACGACCAGAAACATTAGGTAATACATGTTTAAGTAACACCAAACAAAGTAATATCAAGATATTTAACTCTCTGTATGATGTATTGTTGAACTATCTAAAAGACATAAAGCATTAAGTTTAGATACTATAATGTTAAGCAACTAACAATCAATCAATTTTAATACTATAACTAGTCAGGGGCGTTACTTAAACAAGTTATTTTTTTTTAGTTACTTATATAGGTAATTTTTGTTTTTATAAATTATTAAATTACTCAATAAGAGTTATTTTAAATGTCAATAAAAGCATGGACTAAATGTAGCTTTTATGAATTTTTACTTAATTTTATATTTATTAAATTTGAGATGAGTATAGAGGTAAAGGTTACTTTAAAACTTATGACAAAAATATTACTTGTATATAATAAGTTATTTTATACATCTTTGAAAAGATTAGCATTTATGACTATTTAAGGAACATATGTAATTGTTTTGGGTTACAAATTATAAATTACTTCAAGTCTGAATTAAATCACAAGGTTCCATCTATTTATATCTGTCTACCTTTAAGATTTTCAAGGAATATTATATTTTGATACCCAAGAGTCCAATCTTTGACCTAGAACTTCAGAAGCATCGATATAAAATGTAAGTTTGTCAGAAAGGCAATTAGTGTTTTAAGAGGATTAGTTTTTATATTTCATGGAAAAAATAACCAGGTGTCTGTGAAAATTTGTTAAAGCTAGTAAAATCGGTATTAATGGACACCTATAAAAATATATGAACAAAAGTTACTTATAGAAGTTATATTTAAAATAGCCTTGTTTTCAACATAACTTGTATAGGTAATTTGAAAGTTACTTGTTTAAGTAATGCCCTGGACTGATAACAATGAGAGATAGCTCTGTAATTTTCATTTTCTGAAGAATTGTTCTTGTGCTTAAGTTTTTTGTTTTTACCATGTTTTAAATGCTTCCAACCTCTCATTACAGCTGCTTATAAACAATGAACCTTATTTCCAAGGTATTCACAGACTTGACAAAATTCTTTTCTATTACAAAATTATAATCGAATTTAGAATGGAAAGAGGGAAGTATATGTTATGCATATATACTTATCTTATCTTATTGCCCATATGCCACCTCTCTCAATATCAAATAATAACAAATAAAACAATCATATTAATTATTAAAAGGACTGTAGATAAATTTTTATTATTTTCAGAATACCTGCAGAGTAAAGGTGTCGACTGTTTCTATGACAACATCAAGTTAATTTCCACCTCACACATAGTATATTTATGTGTACTACCATCTCAGATTCCATCAATCGCTGAGGAACTTAAAAATAACATACCACCAACAGTTATATTTTATTCTCTGGTCAGTACTTACACAACTAAAAAGTTAAAACAGCTATTACTGACATCAAACATCATACATCCTGAGTTTACATGGAGAGATGATAGTCATACAAACACATGGGACTGTACACTTAATGTTAATGCAGCCTTAGAGAACCCAGACACTGTTGAGATGACATGTCCAATAGGATTCAAAAAGTCAGGTAAAGGTGTCATACCACTAATGTTAACCCCTAGTATATATTACAAGATTTTTCAGTTTCACAGCTCTCTAAATTTTTTCCATTTTTGTGTAATTTAAATTTAACTTCATGAGAACCAGGCCTTTAAGTCATAAAACTTACTCAGTACTAAATATGCGCTTTAAACACCAAATCAAGTTATTTATTTGATTTTGTTTGGATTTTTATTGTTACGATGTGTTCATGGGTATGAATTTGGTTGGTTTACGGTATTTTTATTCACAAAAAGCCCTCTAAAACAGTTAGCCTAAAAAAATTAATCTCTATGCGTGAAAAAAAGTTTTTTTTGTAATGTTTGTAAACCACAAGCAAATTATACAAATTATATATATATTGAAGTGAAAAAATAAAAGTGATTTTGTTTTTTACATTTCTTTTTTCAAAAACTGTCTTTTTAAAAAATGAATATTTCTATTCATTCTTCTGGTTTTCCTTTTCAGAAAGCATAATTTGTACAAATGAAAAGTTTGCAGAGCAAATGCTATTTGCTTTTATGAACTGGTGTACTCAGTTACAACTGACAAAAGTAGAAACTCTAGACGTCATTCATTCTGTATTGTTTCAAGATTTAATGGAAGATAAATTCAGGGAAGAAGATTTCATCAAGAGGAGAGATAATCTGGCTGGGTAAAGTTTATGCAATTCTTTATATTTATGAACACTGAATTTTATATGCATGATTTCAATTTATATAAAGATAAGGCGAGATGGTGTGGTTGGCAATGAGACAACTTTCCATAAAAGACTTAAGGACAAAAGTGTGAACAATTACAGGTCACCATACAATTTTTTGTTTTTATTATCATATTGATTTTTATACGTTTGACAACAATGCTTTTTTTGGCATATTGTGCTTGAAGGTTCAACAGACATTTTTTCATATTTTTACAAACTAATTTTTATCATGCTATTTTTAAAATTCTAATAAGAGGTATATGTTATCAACCTTGGTTTTAACCTATAGTTGTATTAATAAATGAATCAGATATTTTGTAAGGACTATGATTCAGAACAGTAAAAAAACTGTTTTTTGTTTTTTTCATTATTCAAGCTTAATTTTTTTTTTTTGCCTTCAACAAATATTTAAATGTTGAGATATATCATTATTATACATTTGGTATAAAGTTTTAGAAACAAGTACTAACAACATCAGATACAAAATTATGTAAAATATTATCAGAATCTTCTTTTTAATCAAAAGCAAAATTAGAAAATTAATTTTTCATATTTAAACCAAAAGATTAGGTTTTCACATTCTTTAATTCTGTAAACCTTTAAAAGTAAAGTTTTTTTTTGTTTTTTTTTAAATTTAACATCTTTATAAAAAAATTCTGCATATGAAAAGTTCAATTTAACTGAATCTAGTAGTTCAGAAACAAGATTGTTTGTTGTTTGCTTATTGTCTAGTGGCAACTACATGGCAGTCATTCCCAAGATTGCCAGACATTGGGCAAAGTCCAGTAAAATTGGGTTGGTCCAATTAAGTGATATGCTTTACTGGACCAAATGAGCAGTAAAATTTTAAATTATTTCCAAATCATATGTGAAAATTTCCTGTAAAAAAGAGTCTGGTCCAGTTAAGAAGAATAGTTTACTGGACCACATGTCTATTTGATTTCTCAAAGCCTTGGGAACCACTGACATGATGAGAACAAATCAACAATAAGTCTAATTAATAGCTTCTGCAAGTGATGAACAATGGGACTGAAAATGGGAAATTTGGACTGCCACTTGACAAACATGGAATACTGGAAAGGGGCAGAAATTTAATTTGCAACAGCTCCTTTACAGACCCATATAATATTTGTTACAAAGATTCTTAAATATGCAGAGAGCATTACACTGTTGGTATATGAGACATCTGATTTTATGTCCCCATTCTTACTGGATATTAGTATATGTAATTATACATCCTGCACAGTCATTGAAAAAGAGGCAGGAGATACCAAGAGGATATTTAAACTCGAAAAGTAGAAGAAAAACTAATAACGCAAAAAAACGAAAAATGATGAAAAGACAAACAAATCCACAAAACATTTCTTCAGGATGTACTTAGGTCATGTTTAGGAATTTTTGTTAGATGTTCGGACTCCTTGGTTTTTTTCCTACCATACAGGGTAAAATATTTTGCCCCATAACACCCAATTTTCTTTTCATAAAAGACTTCAATAACTCATAAAAGGTCATTTACCAAAATTTTTAAAAGCAGATTCTAAATTTCTTTCAATGTGATACCGAAATAATACCAATGCAAATATAAGGTAAAAGTCTGAGTCGGCCTTTTCCCGCCATTTTAAAAAAAATGAATATCTTGAAAAGGAGACCCATAACCTATTAATATTTTTATCTTATTTTGTTCCTTAACTAATGCTCTTCTGACTTATAGTATCAATTTTAAATTCTAGATTTTTTTTATTTCACCTAAGTATATCCTTAAGGTGACTAAAATTAAGGTTGACTAAAATTAAAATGGCTCGTTTAATTTTCATAAAATTTTGACAAAATATTTACTTTGACCCTTTGACAAAAATATAAAAATTTCAAACAACTTGAATCACACACTTTATTGGAAAAATTTCATTGGATATATAGCAGTTTGACAAACACTAATTTTGATCATTGAGAAGCTTAATATTTCCTTCACAATAGAATGTGATTAAAACGTTCAGCTGATTTTTACAGTTATCTCCCTGTAGTGGTATGTACCACCTTAAACAACTAAAGAATGAGCACCACAATCCCCACTTAAAACAAAGATGAACTCAGGTGCTCCGGAAGGGTAAGCAGTTCTTACTTGGTGTGTGGCACCCATGGTGTTTAACTCATGTAATAACAAATCAGGTGTTAAGTCTCATTCAGTTATGACACAATCAAGGAAAAGAGGACAGGACATATTTTTGTAGTATAAGATAACTTAAAATTATAGTTGAATATATAAAAAGTTTTAAAGGGTTCTTTTTCTTTTAGAACGAATTTGCTATGTTGATTTTTTTTTTCGTCTGCTTTCAGAATGTTCCCAAGATTTGACTTGGTAAAAGTTTTCCAGGTGAAGACACCTGTCCAAAGAAAGCTAGTAGAAGATGAACACTTAAGGAAAACATTTGTACAGAAATATTTATCTGTATTTGATACATATATCAAACAAAGAGCTCAGGCATTGTTATCAGGGATTGCAGATAACTGAGAAATGCTTAGCTGAAAATCATTTTTATGGAATAACTGTGATATGATATTTATTATTTGTTGTTTTAAATAAAATATTTAATAACTTGTAATATGTTTTAATAATAGATGATGGATTTTTTAAATGTCATTTGTGAGGGTCTGGGATGGTGGGTGCATCATTTCTTGATTCTTTAATTTTTTAGCACAACTTTTCTCTATTCTCTATTCTTTATCTATTTTGCCAATTATTCTCTATGCTTTGTATTTTAACACCCCATTATTCTCATTTCTTGTTTTTTTAGCCTATATTTTTCTATTCTTTATTTTTTGGCCCTTACGGTAATTCTGCACTTTTTGCCTATTATTCTCTATTCTCTAAACCCCATACAGACCCTCATTTTTTAACATATCATGTACAAGTGCATGTTTCATATTTTTTCTCAAAAGGATGATGCTCATGATACTGGACTCCATAATGGTTAATTTCCCCCATTCATAATTTTTTTTTCAAAATGCTTAAAAAGATTGTGAAATAAAGGATGGGTTTCCACATCCTCTTCAAATCTACTCCTGATAAATACATTTTATAGGACGAGATTTCATAGTTCATATAAACTGCCAAAGCCATCAACATTTCATTACATAGACTACACAATGTTAAAGAAAATAAGCTGTGATATATACTCTCTAACTGTAGAAAGTGTAGCATATTTTAATATTTGTTACACTAACTAAACAACTTCATTAGGAGTGTCTTATTTTTTGTTTGGTAAAAGATATATTGTTGGATGTTGGATAAAACTGAGTTTTTTGGTGCAATATCTGCCACAAATTAATATTTGAGGAACTTTAATTACAAAAAATAATAACTGGTTATATTTGATTTATCACTGAAACTATGACCTGATTAGGAAGTTGTGTTCTTAAGTAATGCCATGTGTAAGGTTACATACCCTTTTCCATGCAAAGTTTAAGACTATTAGCACAATCTTTTTTAAGACGTTTTGGTGTGTACTACCACATGAAATACTATTGCTCTTTAAAGTAAAACAATTCTTGTAGAAAATTTTGAATGAAGATTTAGATTTCTACAGATTATCTGACAGAACAAGTACTTGACAAATATCTGATTTGGTATAGGTTTGATTTCTGACTGATCAAACCAAAGGCTTGAAAATTGGTATTTACTGTTTTACCACAAGCTACACTGCATATAGGAGTAAGAATGATAATAAGAAAATGTGGTATGATTGCCAATAAGACAATTCTCCACCAGAGACCAAATAACATGGAAGTATACAACTATAGGTCACTGTACATCCTTCAACAATGAGCAAAACCCATACCGCATAGTCAGCACAGAGCATAGACTGGTTGGTCATGAATCAGAATAATGTGTCCTGGTAGGGTGACATTTCTTCCTAAAGACTGAACTAGCAAAGTTAAAATTCGGCTTAGCATGTTGGTCTAGTACAAATAAGGCTTTATATTTATATCACATTAACATGTTCTTGTCCAGAATATGCATTAATTCGACACTGGACGTTAATCAGCCAGCCATCTTCATTGACAAGAAAGAGAGAGAGAGAAAGAGCTAGTGTAATTATAAAGAATTTAAACATCATAAAAAATACCAAAAACTACTGTGTGAAAATGAGATTAAAATATTTAAAACCAGAGGACAGTATTTGAATGAGACTAGCAAGAAGCAGCAAGGGAATTGTACAGACAAAAAAACAAATACCAGTACAAACTCCCATCAAAACTGGAAGACATTGGATGCTCCAGAATGGTTAGCAAACCCTTCTTTGCATGCTTCAAAGTGTTACTGAGGAAAAGCTCATGCTGGAGCAATAATACTACTATATATTTATATTTACTTTTAGCTGGAAGTTCATCAATTTTAGTCAGGGCACAAAATTCCTTTAAAATACATGTATGTTGATCATGAGAAAATTCCGAGCTCTCATAGCTATCAAGTAAAAGCTTTTAAAATTCTAGCACTTAACTCGGTATTCGAGATTTTTTTTCTTATTAAGTATTACTTTTAGGCAAGTTTTATAAGTAATATAAAAACTTTATAATCTAAAAGTTAAAAGCCTATGACATTTAATCGTTTGTACATAGATACCTTGTGCTTTAAAGATTTTCTGAAATGAAAAAGCAGATCTTAACCTTATTTTCAGGGTTCAGTGATTGTCTTTAAATAAAAAAAAACCCTAAATAATGTCTTGATAATATAAAAATAAAAAGATGTGGTACAATTGCCAATGAGACAACTCTCCACCAGAGACCAAATGACAGAGAAGTTAACAATTAAAGGTTACTGTACGGCCTTCAACAATGAGCAAAACCAATACTGTATAGTCAGCTATAAGGTCCTTATCAACCTTCAATTGAATTCTGTTTAAATGTACCAATTCAAGGACGTATAGTATAGTTTAAATAAAATTCCTTGATCAATGTCATTGTCTATGCTTTTTTGTCTGTTTTACATTTTAAACCCAGTAAACAGCACCTTTTTTAGATCACCTTTCCAAAGGAAATGTGAGCTTTTGACATCACTTGGCGTCTGTCGTCGTCCGTCATCTTCGTCCGTTGTCGTCTGTCGTCCATCCGGTATAAACTATTTCAAACATCTTCTCCTCTGAAACTACTGAACCAATTCCAACCAAACTTAAGCTGAATGATCCATAGGGTATCTAGAATAAACTTTATGTTTTATTTTCTGTTTTGTCAAAAAACATGGCTGCCATGGCTAAAAATAGAACATGGGGGTAGAAAGCAGTTTTTGGCTTATATCTCAAAAACTAAAGCATTTAGAGCAAATCTGACATGGGGTAACAATTTCATAAGGTCAAGTTCTATCAGCCCTGAAATTTTCAGATGAATCTAACAACCCATTATTGGGTGGCTGCCACTAAATTGGTAATTTTAAGGAAATTTTGCAGTTTTTGGCTATTTATATCTTGATATTATTATAGATAAAGATAAACTGTAAACAGCAAAAATGTTCAAGAAAGTAAGATCTACAAATAAGTTTATATGACCAAAATTGTCAATTGACCCCTTAAGGAGTTATTGCCCTTTAAGGGCAATTTTACACAATTTGTTTATCATATTTTCTAACTTTAAAAAATCTTCTCCTCTGAAACTACTGAACCAAATTAAACCAAACTTAAGCTGAAAAGTTCTTAGGTTATCTAAAATAAATTTTTGTTTTATTTTCTGTTTCGTCAAAAAACATGGCTGCCATGGCTAAAAATAGAACATGGGGGTAAAATGCAGTTTTTGGCTTATATCTCAAAAACTAAAGCATTAAGAGCAAATCTGCTTGGGGAAAAATGTTTATTAGGTCAAGTTCTATCAGCCCTGAAATTTTCAGATGAATCTAACAACCCATTGTTGGGTTGCTGCCACTAAATTGGTAATTTTAAGGAAATTTTGCAGTTTTAGGTTATTTATATCTCGATATTATTATAGATAAAGATAAACTATAAACAGCAAAAATGTTCAGGAAAGTAAGATCTACAAATAAGTTTATATGACCAAAATTGTCAATTGACCCCTTAAGGAGTTATTGCCCTTTAAGGACAATTTTACACAATTTGTTTATCATGTTTTATAACTTTAAAAAATCTTCTCCTCTGAAACTACTGAACCAAATTAAACCAAACTTAAGCTGAATGGTTCTTAGGTTATCTAGAATAAAGTTTGTGTTTTATTTTCTGTTTCGTCAAAAAACATGGCCACCATGGCTAAAAATAGAACATAGGGTAAAATGCAGTTTTTGACTTATATCTCAAAAACTAAAGCATTTAGAGCAAATCAGACAAGAAGTTAAAGTATTCATTAGGTCAAGGTCTACCTGCCCTGAAATTATCAGCCAAATCAGGTATCTGATTTTTAGGTTATTGCCCCTGAATTGATGATTTTAAGGAAATTTTGCAGTTTTCGGTTATTATCTTGAATATTATTATAGATAAAGATAAACTGTAAACAGCAAACATGTTCAGCAAAATAAGATCTACAAATAAGTTCAATAGGACCAAAATTGTCAATTGACCCCTTAAGGAGTTATTGTCCTTTAAAGACAATTTTTCACAATTTGTCCATCTAGTTTGCTTACTTTAAAAAATCTTCTCCTTTGAAACTGCTGAATAAATTTCAGCCAAACTTGGGCTAAATGAGTTTCAGCAGTTTCAAAGGAGAAAATTTTTTAAAGTAAGCAAACTAGATAGACAAATTGTGAAAAATTGTCTTTAAAGGACAATAACTCCTTAAGGGGTCAATTTCTAGTATAAATTTTGTGTTTTATTTCCTTGTACGTCAAGAAACATAGCCACTATGGCTAAAATGGAACATAGGGGTAAAATGCAATTTTTTGCTTTTGAAGAAAATATGACAGATACAAAGAACATTTGAATGGCATTTTTAAGCCACTCATTAATACATATTGAAAAGCAAAAATAATCATTGATGAAAGATTTAAGCAAAAAATTACAGGTGAGCGATTCAGGCTCTTGAGAGCTTCTTGTTTTATACTCTTAGTCTCATGATTACTATATTTATAGCTTGATTATTTGGAGATCAGATTTTTACCTTCAAATATATAAATAGGTTGAATCAAGCACAAAAAAACACGAAAAATTACAAGCCGTAAACTTTTGTCAAATTTGAACCATATACTGTTGATTTAACAAACAGTTGTTTGGTAAACGTCCAGTAGCAAATATTTCATTCGTGCTCAGGACGATCAGACCTTTGAAGTTCAAAATATGTCTAAATGTGAGAAAGCAGGTATTTCATTACAGGAAACACAAATCATTCAATACACGAAATTGATTAGTACAATAGAAACGAGAAGTTTACAAGAAAAGATGCATAATAATAACATTAAGTTTTTTTTTGGCAATATGAAATTTCAATATTGGACAAGATATCAATTATTCTGAAATGGCAGGCATATCCGGCTTCTACGGACTTGAATTTTCATTGGATCCCAAAAAATAACAGGTCAAAGATACTTGATGATAAGTTGATACACATTTTGTTGTCATACAATCATACAGAAGGATTTTCAGTCGGTAGCTACCAATCCAAACTGTATAATCATGGTATGAATAGATGTGGTCATAGCTTCACATTAGACAATCGTCAAAAATGTAAAATTAAACACGCCTGTATAAAAGTCTCTGAAATCAACATGGGCACTAAATAAGAAGGAAATGTGTGAAGAAGTTGATGAGTACACGATTAGACCGGGGCGAAAGAAATGCGAAAAGGATCATAAATTGCAGGGAGGGGGCGTGAAGTTAGATTGTATTTTTTTCTATTTTCGTGCCAAATTGATTTTTTTCAGATATCATATTCATTTCTCTTTCAGCGTATTATTATATTTTTTTATGGGTTTTAAAGTAAGGTAACCAAATCTTGGCTTTTTTTGTCTTCCGTAATATTATACGCTTACAGTGTTTAATTTGATTTGTTTTCAATTCACCTGCACTAAGTAAAGTACAAAAAACAAAAGGTTCCAATTATATGGATATCAGATTACCAAGTTTATTTTAAATGGTACAAAGTGGTAAGTCATAATTATTTCCAATTTTCGCGTTTTACGATGAATTTTATTCTTACTTATACTACGAGAGAGAGTGTGCGCGTGTGTTTATGTGTGTTAGTGTGCTTACAAATAGTATAACGCGTGGTATCACTTTTAAAAGCTCTTCGAATATGAATAAAAATGAAAATGAAATGTTGGGTATGTTGTATACGTCAATGAGACGTCAACCCAACTACACAATTTCGAAATAACATATACAGTAAACACAGATCCTAAAAAGTTGATAAACTAAATTTAAGAGACTAATACCCGTCTGTAACCAACACCTTATTCCTAAATGAAGAAATACATATCTGTTATAAAGACAACAGCTTCCTGTCTTTTGATACCTCAAGTGTAGACTTAGATATTGAAATATGGTCACCTGGACTTCAACAATCCGACAGTAACACCCATGCTAAACAGGAACATCTTTTTGGTTTTGTAGGTATATAGATACACAAAAGTTAAGTCCGATGCACAGTGTAAAGAGAGCACCACGTTTTATGCAGATTACAGAATCATTGCAACAACTATATATATTTGACGAGTCTGTAATTGGCCTGTTGTGAGGTAAAATTTCTATACATAAATCCTTGTTTCCCGTGTCAGTCGATATTTCCAGACATTCATAGTTGTAAACCCACTTTGTAGAACTTGTCAACTTGGTTTATTGTAAAAATGTTCTCGTTCTCATTATGCATGAAATGTTTGCCACTGGACATTAAACCAGCAAAAATCAATCAATCAATCTTGCCTTGGAACAGTCACCTTACAGTGTAACGAGGTTAAATAAGATCTTTGAGTACTCAATCGTGACATTTTTACATTCTAGATTGTATTCAGTCTTAAATGTTTTTAAAAATCTAATTTATATCAATAATATCAGACATTTTTAGAAGTTTTATAATGTGATAGAAAACTCCCAAAAATTAGGAACAAAATACAAATGCATACTCATACAAAATTTACCTATTTAATTTTATTTTTTTAACACAGGAAATTTTATTTCGTTTCTAAAAGTTAAACAAAGGGTCTTTTCTAAGACGTCCACATGGCGAGTCAGAGGGTAAGTATAAGCAATTCAAATGAGAATATAACCAACTAAAATTGTCGACCTTACATAAAAAGTATCCTCTATTTTTCAGTTTAAATGCATACCACCTATAACAAGAATATGTGGTGTGATTGCCATTGAGACAACTCTCCACCAGAAACCAAAATAACATAGAAGTTAGCACTGTAGGTCACCGTACGGCTTTCAACAATGAGCAAAACCAATAACAAGCTATAAAAGGCTCCGTAAACACAAATGTAAAACAATTCAAACGAGAAAACTAACGGCCTGATTTATTTACAAAACAGCAAACGAAAAGAAACAAATATGAGATATAGCAACAAACGACTATTACTGAATTACGGGCTCATGACTTTTGACAGGCATATACAGAATGTGACGGGGTTAAACATGGCAGCGCCCCTAAACCTGGGACAGTCGTGCAACAGCACTACACAAAAACAAAACTGTACCAAACAATGTATTAACGTGCATTATATTTATCTACCGGCGACTGCAAAATATACTGACATAATATAAGTCATTCTTCTGAAAAATTCCTGAACAAAAAGGAGCCTGTTCTACCGATGTATCTGATCATAATTTGACATTCTTGCGTTATAAGAAAATATTGCAACAATTTCTTAATATGAAGAATATAATCACCATCGATACGACAGTTGTCGCATGTGCATTACTTTCAAGTTTTACTCTTTTATTTTTATGCTCGATATCCGCGTAAATAGTTATTAATCAGATGTACAAAGTTAATCAGTTGTAATTATTTCACTCAGGAGACGGCAATGGTTGAAGAGGCATTTCTACATGCATTGAAGAAAAAGAAACACCAAGATGCACTAACCCTGCTTAACAGAGTAACATTTTTCAACTTTATCAACCGTAAAGATGAGGTAAAAGTTGACACTGGTACACAAACTTGCTCATCATTTGCCTAACATTGTATTTATGGCGAGTTATATATGACAGTATTTTTTTATAATTTGCAATTTGCAAGGAAACGAACATGTGACAAATCCATTTGTTACAACGAAATCACGTGGAAAAAGAATCGCAAATTTTTAACCATATTCTTTAGAATAATTTGGCAAAGCAAAACACAGTAGTACGTATGTGTAATTGTAAAACATAAAATGCTGATAAATATAAAAATAAGAAGATGTGGTATGATTGCCAATGAGACAACGTATGTTTTGACTTAAAAGCAAGTGATCTAGCTTGTCCAATAATAATTACGTCTTGAGAGTCTTTTTTATTGTTCACTTGGACACTTTCCTACGATGTCCAAGAAATCCCCCCCCCCCCCCCCCCCAAAAAAAAAACCACCTCAAGACGTCGCAATTATCTGAACTATCTCACTTATAAGGATGTCTGAGCTCCCTGCGATTATTATTCACTTACAAAAGAATATCTAAAAATCTGTTTTTTTGAAAGCAAAATATTCTTCCTAATTCTGAGAATTTATAAGGACAAATACTTGATATTAAAATAGAATAACAATTTTTCTTATTGCAGGCGACAGGAAAACAATGCTTGCATTTTGCGGCCTCTGAAGGTTTCGTTGAAATTGTTTCAAAATTATTAGAACATGGAGCAGAAGTAAACAGTAAAGATAAGGTTAGTGAAAAGAAAACTTTGATGTGACTTTTTCAGATTAATTTCGGGTATTTCAGTTTTCAAATTGCTATAAATTGACTATATCTGTTGATCTTGCATAATAGAACTGTTCAATTTATATGAATTGAAGCCGAAGGCTACATATTTAATTAAGAGTGCCTTTTCTACACATATTTCAGAATAGTGAAAAGTAAAATAACAAAAATACCGAACTCCAAGGAAAATTCAAAACGGAAAGTCCCTTATCAAATGGCAAAATCAAAAGCTCAAACACATCAAACGAATGGAAAACAACTGTCATATGAAGTATTTTTAAAACATTTTGTTTTCAGAATGGTGATACATCACTCCACCTAGCAACAAAGGGTGAACACGAGAGGGTCATTGCTTTGCTGATAGCGTTTGGTGCTAATCTGGATGAAAAAGATAAGGTTATTTTTTTTTGTTCCAGACTGTGATTTGTATTGATATACACAACACTAGTATGAAACCTGCGATAAACATATATAAGCATATAGATTTATTAAAATTTATTTACCTGTTGTGTTTTAAACATATGCAAATTCTTGGATGTCTTATTATGATTCTATTGATGCTTTTCTTTCATGCTACCAAGATTTTTCTGGCAAAAGCAATTTATTGATTGAATTCATCCTGTAGACGGAACAGTCTCAGTGTCACAATGACTTCGAAATTTGTTAAATGTTTGTAAAATGATTTTGTGGGTTTCCTTTTTCAAATGTAAAATTAATGACTATTTTTTTTTTTTTTTTTTGGGGGGTGTATTTGTACCTTCTGAAAGCATATGTTCATACTTACCAGATTTTTCTGACCATAGCTCAATATTGATGCAATAGTTCAATTGAATAAATTCTCTGCCAATTGGGAAATAGTTGTCCTTTTTTACTTGACTGTGTAGTTAGCCGCTGTCACATTTATTTTAATCCCAAATCGTTAATAAAGTTTACATCGGAGACGTGAATTTGAATACTGTTTTCTTTTGTGTAACTTTAATTGCATCTTTTTTTTTCCATGTGTTACATATGTACTTGACAATAATAAGTTTCGATTGGTCTCAGTTTTCAAAGATATTATTTGAACTTTGAAATACTTTAAAATAAATGCATAAAGGTAAATATAAAGCAGAATACTTAATCAGTTTTACGAATTATTTTATTATTATCCTTTTATTTGTTCTATAATACTTTTTTTCAGGATAAACATTCAGCATTATATACCGCAGTACAAAATAAATATCCCAGAATTGTGGACATACTGCTGAAGTTTGGAAAACAACCGAACCTCACAGAATGGGTAGAGCAAGTTATATCTCTCCTAGCACTACAAACCAGTAAAGTCTGAAATGGCCTATATCTGTACTCGACTGTACTGATTTTTACTCGACCAGTCTGAATTGGTCTGAATTTTACTCGACATTACTCGACCCCAGTCTTAACCATACTCGACCGTACTGATTTGTACTTGACCCTTATCTTTGCCATTGAAAATAGTCTGAACTATTACTCGACCAGTCTGAAACAGTCTTAACCCATTCTCGACCTGTACTCCACCAATTTTTTCAGTCTAAACCATACTCGACCAAAGGTCTGAACAATACTCGACCAGTCTGAACCATACTTGACCAAAAAACCTATATTTTTTTTAAATGTTAGCTGTTAAAATTAATTTCTTTTTTTCTGACAATGAAAACAGCCACAATGAAATAAAGATATATATAAAAATATATTTTTACATCCTTACATGATTCTCAGATTTATCAAATAGAGATAGTTAAATTAAATTATCTTATATAATAATTTAATTATATTAATTTTAAAGTTTTAGAGTTTTGTTAAAAAAAAAAAATTTCTTTTAACTAAAAACCACACCTTTACTGAGAGTAATAAAACCTTAATAAGGTGCTTCTTGTTTGGCATGTGTGTTTTTTTTTTTTTAAACTTAATTTTCCTAAATTCCTAAAGAAAAACTATATAGGTTTCATGGTTATATACAATAGTTATATAATTATCTTTTTAATGAGGTAACAACAGCCAAAAAATCACTGAAATTGTTTAACCTTATATTAGAAATATATCCATTTTTGTTATAATTTGGGATATATTATATATAATATATATCAAAAGGGGATAAAAAAATTAAAGAAATAGATAAATTTTTTCTTCTGATTTATAAAGTAATACCTCCTGCTTGGGGCAAACTCATTAAAAGATCACACCTGGTCAGAGAGTATTAATTTCTAATTAACATTCATTAAAAATTGCAACATCCTGTAAAACTTAAATCGCAAGGCCTTTTGAATTCACTAGATAAGTAATACACGAGTTTAAGAAAAAAAGGGCTTTCTTTTTACCTGTAAAACACACATGTACTGAGATAAATAAACCTTATTAAAGTGCTTCTTGTATGCCATGTCTTTAATTTTGACAAAAGTTATTTAAATTTAATTGAAATAAATTTTTTCTGCAGCTTTGGAACACATTTCCTTTTTTAAATGGTTATCAAGGATTGCTATGGAAGTTCTATTATCATGATTATCTTAAATTCTTGGTTTTACAAAACAAAGGTGTTATTTTTAAAATTTATTAAGTTGCTTTATATACTATTTTAAATATATTTTAATAAAAAAAATGTTCCCTGCATTATTAACTAAACTCAACTGACACCATAAATCTATACAAGGCTTAAGTAAATGGTGAAAATTGTCCAGTAACCATAAAATATATCTGAAACATTCAAAAAAATTTGAATAACATTGAAAATGTTAGTCCCAATTCGGTTTGAGATTATTTGATCAGTTTGTTTTATTTTTATTTTAAAGGTGATATATATATGTAAGTGTTGATAAATATGATGTTGAATTTATATTATGTTTATTGTGAAATTTTGGTTTCAATATGCCATATTGAATACATTTTGAATTTCAAATTGTTGTTCAAATTTCTAGCCAGGGGAAATAGCTGTTAAAAACAGTTCCTAAATTGATGAAATACAATAGATAGATACAAAAATTAGGTCTAGGTTGGTTAAGACTTAGTCGAGTATGGTTCAGACTAGGTCAAGTATGGTTCAGACTAGGTCGAGTATGGTTCAGACTAGGTCGAGCATGGTTCAGACGAAAATAAAATGGTTAAGTACTGGTCGAGTACAAGTTCAGACTGTTAAGTATGGTTCAGACTACAGTCGAGTATTATCAAGTAAATTTCAGACCAATTCAGACTGGTCGAGTAAAAATCAGTACAGTCGAGTACAAATATAGGCCATTTCAGACTTTTACTGGTTTGTAGTGTAGTTAGGCCTCATTATAAAATTATGAAAAGATCAAAACCCTCAATTTTTGATACTTTTAGTTTCTTCAATAACCATCGAACCATCGAATGGATTCCCAATATAATCCACAAAAAAAAAAACAAAAAAAAACATTACAAATCAAATCAAAAACAAAACAAAGCAAAAAAAAAAAAAAAAAAAAAAAAAAACCCAAAAAACAAATAGAAACATACACTCTTTGAATACAATATTTAAATAATATCTGATAGTGAAAAAGAACAATAGATATTTATGAAATTCATACACCATATTCATTCATAATTTGATCCAAAAAGATTTGGTATTGCTAAATTTTTTAATTCATTTTCCTATTTTACTCTCAATAATATTCAAATCAAGAAGGATAAAACAACAACACTATTTACACAGCTCAAAATACAATGTAAAAATTCTCAAAGTTGAGTATTCAATAACCTGTTGTATTTTCCAACTAATAGGAATGGGATATTCGCAAAAAGCTAAATGCTAAAGAGGAAGAAATAGTAAACGCTCTTGGTAGACAGTGCTCATTCCTACCCGGATTTGATAGTGGGTAAGAAAATATTATAACATACTGAATACGCAGGCTCGTGGGGCATGGGCACTCTACCTATTTTATTTTGTGTTTTCTTTCCAGTGATTATTCTTTAATATTTCAACTCATTTTCGCTTATGTAATGTGTCTTTCTCTTATCCATACGATACCACAAGGCCAGCAGTTAATTTGTACTACCCTTCTATTTTCCATGCCCGAGCGCCAGTGATGGGATAGACAAATTGAAATGAAAATGAAATTATTTGATAGTTTACTTTGTTACTTCTAATGAATTACCCGAAGGGTTGACTCCGGTATATAAAATGGTATCCCTGGAATTATCCCGTCCGTCAGTTAAACCATGGAAATTTTATATTGACATTGGCAATATAATACTCCCATGGTTAAACCATTTTTAAAGCGGGTATTCGTTTGGCTGTGCGGGATGTGTGAATACGCAGCCACGTCCATTCTGAATTTGAACGTATTATCGATGTTTCGTGTAGGGAGATTGCTAAGTTCTCTCCACATAAATCCCCTCCCGTAACAACTTTCTAATGGGTCCGTAGGTGGTCTGTTGCAAAGGCAAAACTTCTGCTCTCTCCATAATACCCTCATTCTCCAGTGGCAGTCCAAATCCCGATCTAGCTCCTTTGCAGATCCTACATATTGTATCAGTTGTTTATTACTTCTCGTCCTGAATATTTGTGAAGTATTTGCCGTTTGCCGTTAAGGAAGCCACAGTTAATCATTCATTACATTTGATTATATGTTACATTTTTCTGACCGATATCTCATCTCATATTGCAGATTGATCAAGAGTGAGGTATTCTATGTAAAGCCTAATAACAAGTGCTATAGTGAATCCATGCATGTAGAACTTGTTACAGAAAACATAACATCATCATTTGTTTTCCAACTTTACAAAATGCAAAGCGAATATGCAGATAAAATCAATTTGAAAAAAGAGCAAGAATCTTTCAGTGATTTTTATGAATGTAGAACGTGGAATTGTAATCAGAAGGAACTACAACTAATAGTGACTGTGGGTGGTGAACTTAGCAAAGGTCGAAAGCTTAAGTTCATATCTGTAGACAACAGAGTTGGAAAGGTGAAACTATCAAATAAAACGAGTAATGGGAGTAAAGAAGTAAGCACATTTTGATTGTTTTACTCATGTTCTGAATAAGAGGTGATGTTTGGTAAACATAAAAAACAAAAAGATACACATGTATTACAAAAAGCAACCTTGGCAAAATTCCTGACTCGGGACAACCACATTCATATATGGGGTAGAAATAACCTTTATGATATCTCGCACACCTCTTTGTCAGCTCAATTACCGCAATGACAAAAAAATAAATAAAAGTACTTATAATTAAAGTCAGTATGAATTAGAGGCAACAGTATAGAATTGAGAATGGAATTGGGGAATGTATAGTTTACCGCGCATCGATCATAATTCTATTTAGAAAATACAAATCAAAACCCGAGGGAATCGCATGAACTCCGAAAGGAACGAGACCTTGCGCGTTGACAGGGTAAGCGTATAATGTTATGCAAGCATCGCACGCCACAGTCAAAATGTCACAATCGGGAATTACTGTTTGATGCCGTCTTATAATAAATAATACCGCATAAATATCGTATGTATTTGCTTGTACAAATAATCTGTCAAATATTGAACCGTATTAAATTGATTGCTGATTCACTTTTACATTAGAAAAAATTCCTAACGCACAGAAAACAAAAAACGAAATGTAATAGTTCAGAAATGAGACATGCTATATGTTATTATATTCACGTTTTAATGTTTTTTTTTGTTGTTGTTGTCATTTGATTTTATCCTCAGGAAACAGTTGTAACAGTTAACATTGAAATAAAGGATTGTGAATATACAAAATTCACGATAGCAACTGTTCCAAAAAGCGAAAAAATGAATATTCCAAAGGAAGGAGTAATTCTTAAACCGAAAACAGCTCCTGGAACAGAAATATCCATTCCACAAGACGCATTTGAAGAGGACTCAAAACTTTCCTTAAATGTAAGTTTGAATGAAATATAAACTAGGCAATTGCAATGGTGAGGAGTGTGACATGAATAATATACTAGACCCCCATCTAAAAAAAAAAAACAAAAAAAAAACGTATGATGTACAATAATTCAATTTGCACAGCAAACCAAGTTAAATGATGCGTCCCTTGCTTGTCTAAATGATTGTATTGTTTCTGTATTTTTCAACAAGATTGTTTTTAGGTCCTTTTTGGTAATAAAGCTCTTCAACTGTTTCGGTTCTTATGCATCCTTGGCTTTCAAATATTCGGCTTAGAGCGTTCATGATGAAGGTAAATCCAGAAAAGCGCTTCGAACGCATGAAATTTATAACGTGTTGCTTTCATTTTTTTGAATAAGTTATTCGGATCTTTTATTGATTTTTTACAAGTATTTATAGAAATGCAAACCATTTAAGAATAATTAAAATGTTCAGTCTCATTTGAGCAGGTAATTGACACAGAAGAGACAAATATTGAAGAGGAAAAATTCCTGATAGCCACTGACGCTATTGCTGTTCATACATCTGATGGAGTTCAACCACAGAAAGATATTGACATGAAACTTCCTATTCATACTGAACTCGAAAGCAATGATGTAATTGTAATCGGTTCCAATGATGACCATCCTGATTCTATTGATGACTGGGAAATTATAGAACCATCCGATGACGCCGATGTAGGATCCGTATCTTTTAAGACTAACCATTTCTCAATGTAAGTTAAAAAACCCCATAAAATACAGAAAGGTCAATAGAAACCTTGAGTCAAAAAGAGGACAGACAACCCTCTGGTCATGAGATAAGAATTAAATACAGCAGTCAACACGGTATGAATGATAAAACAATCATTGAGAAGTGGTGGTCCACCCTAATTGCATAATGGCACAACCCCACAAAGAACTGTTTTAATTTCCAAAATATATTGAGATTAAAGTGGGATAAAAGAAAAAAAATAACTTAATTGACAGCAAAATGTTAATACAATTTAAACCTAAACATCGTATGGTAATAATCATTCAACATATTCAGTGATAAAAGAAAAAAAATCATACACGCTGGAAACAAAACTTAGAACTGACTTATTAAATGGTAATTATAGTGATTTTTCGACACTACACGTTATAATGACCTTATTCAAATAATTCAATGGGAATATCGGGAGGATGGACTTTTTGTTCATTTTCTACAAAACAATTTAACACTTTAACACCTAAAATTTCATCAACAGATACACAAGATAAATATATTCTGTAACTTCTATTGTAGACAATGGCGGGTCCAGGATTTAAAAAAATGCGGCTTCTTGATGGACCCGTCAAAAAATGCCTAAAAAGGGGACACCAATTAAAAGGCCAGATATGGGGAGGATCGGACTACTAGTATCTTGGTCAACACCTGATCCGCCCCTGGCATGCGCGATTGACTGTCCTGCGAATGTGTAGTATTATGCGAAATACAGTCTTTTTATACCCACAGTATTGTAAAATTAAGGATGTTCGCTCCTCTGTTAAAAATAACAAGGTTTCTTAAAGACTGTAATAAATTGATAGTATATAAATAACGGAACTTAAAAAGCAGAAAACAACGAAAGGTCCGTGTCCTTGTTTTTTGAGATATAAGCAATTCGGAAAATTTGGCGGGAAATGATTCTCTCTAGATTTTCTATCATTTAACATTGGCACGTATTTTCTTTCAAACATTATGAAAAAATAACAAGGATTTTATAAGATTTTCAAAAATGATTTTTTAAACTATATGTTATTAAATTAGTAAAAGAAAAGTAGGGGTTAGCGAAGTCAAAAACAAGAGAAGCGAACATCCTTAAGCGAAAGATAACAAAACTTTTAAGTCAAAAACAGACTGACAATGCCATGGAAAAAAACCCAAAAAAAAACAAAAAAAAACAAACGATAAACGAGGAAAAGACAAACAGCAGTACACAAAACACAACATAGAAAACGATAGACTGTGCAACACGAACCCCACCAAAAATAACAATTATATCATAAGTTATTTCATTCTAAACACTGTTTTTAATTACTTTGGCTGGTAGGTTTGTGGGAGTTTCCAAAGCTTTAGCAAAAACCAAAGAAGGTCTAATCGAGATACACGAAGCCTTGGAAAAGACGATAGCAAGAAAGAAAAGGGTTGTGTTCTTGGTATTTACAAAATTAGCTCATGAAAATGACAATGGAAATATTTCTAAGGGTGTTAAAAATATCAATCCTCAAAACCAAGGTGAATTAAGTGTGGTAGTACATTGTTCATTGTCAAGGAAACAACAAACTGTACAAGACGACTGGAAAGAGAAAGGATATCAGCTGGTTTGCACGTCTGAAGACAAAATTTGTACGGTTAGCAGTGTATTCCAGGTAAATTGATTCGGATAAAATCTCAATATACAATATTTATTTTTCATTTAAGTTGAACAAATATAGAATTGGTCGATCTATACAATGTGTCTGTGTCTAAACTAACTAATGACATTTTACCACTTCTTAGATTGTGGTTTAACTGTTTGTGATGTCCTGTGGTGTCTGTCGTTGATGGAAGATGTTCGCTGTTGTTCTGCGGTTTGCATGTTGTGTCGAATATTATATTATTTGTTTATGCGTTTCTCTGTGATGAGTGTTTGTGCTGTATTTCTGTCACATAGTGTTGTCGTTTTAGCGATATATTTTTTAACATTGCCATGTAAGCGGGAGGTTTGGTTAGCCATAAAACCAGGTTCAACCCACCATTTTAACTTAAAATGTCCTGTAACAAGTCAGAAATATGGCAGTTGTTATCAAATAGTTCGTTTCTATGTATGTTGGCGTATGTTTTTGTTGCACTTCAGTATTCCTGTTGTGCCTTTGTTTTCCACTTATAGTTGACGTGTTTCCCTCGGTTTTAGTATGTTACCCGGATTTGTTTTCTCTCAATCGATTTATGACTTTTGAACACCGGTATACTACTGTTGCCTTTATAGAGTAAAACAACAACCGAATTTGGGATGTATTCATCTCATGTGAACTGTAAAAAAGACAGACTTAAAACAACAAACAAGTAGTGAAAAAAACCGCAAAACATGGTCTGTAATAATTTGCATAAAAGAAAAGCCTTTTTTTTTAAAGCACTCATATCCTCTGAATTTATTCATAGAAAAAGTGTTAAACAATTGATTGACATGACATCACAATTTTGTAAAATGGAAGAAAATAACAGTGTCCATTAAAAAAGACTCATCAGTGACGCTCAAATAAAACAGAGTTAAAATGGCCAAATAAAGTACAAAGTTGAAGAGCATTGAGGACCCTAAATTCCTAAAAGATTCCTAAAAGATTTGCCAAATACAAAAGCATGACACATATACATTACTCGAGACCCTAAGGCATAATTGTGTAAAAAACTTAAATCAAATAATGATAGAATAGAACCTCAGTAAAATCATTCTTAATCATGTTACCTTAGTTTTTAAGACGTTTTCTGTTACGTAATATTTGTAATTCATATACAAAATTGTAAAGAAAATAAGCAGGGGGAGGGCATGTCACTTAGGGATAAAACCTATGATGAACTAGACAAGTTTTATAAAGGCAAGTAATATAAAAAATGAAGATGCGGTATTATTGTCAATGAGACAATTATCCAACTGATACTACATATGGTTTAGGGCTAGGGAATGTGAATCACCGATATATACATTTTGTTTTGTATACAGATTTATTGTCTGAGAAGGCGGGGCTTGCACAGAAACGCAAACCCTAAGTTGCGTTAAAAAGTTTTTCAATGGCAAATAAGGCAGTATATGGTTTGGGTAGACATATGATATAAACTTCTAGTATTTGACAATTAAGATCGAAAGTTAAGGAGAGAAGTCATCTTCTATTATACGCTGCATATTGTCTTGAGGTCTTGCCAAATATCAAGAGCCTATGTCAAAGTAGAAAAAGTTATGTTCTGGTCACAAAAATATGCAATCAAATAAATTTTTAGCTTGTGGTTAAAGATCAAGGTGACACGAAATTTATGATTATAAACAACACAACGTCTTATGGAAATACACTATCATGCCAATTATCCATAACCAGTGCCTTAAGATGAAAGGCTTTGGCAGAGAAAATGTTGTATGTAAAGAACAAGAAAAAGAAGAAATACTTTCTAACAAAATGTTTTAATTCCTTTGTTGAAGTTGAGACAAAAAATGGGATGCAATTCTTTTGTATTTTTCTACTTCCTTTTTTTTTTAGATAGCAATATCTGGTAACGTCGAAGAAGTTTACCATTCAAAAATAATTGAGTTGGAATTTCACCTTAAACGGGAAAACTATAGAGTTATTAACGTTTGCCGTGTGGAGAAAGAATTCGAACCGGAAGGTCAAATGGAAATCAACCAAATAGAAGTAACAGTAAAAGAAAACATGATAACAGTGCCATCAAAAGTCTGTCTGTTTTGTACAGAAATGACACAGGTTGTCAAAAAGGTTGAAGATATCGTGATCAAACCACTTTTTAACTGCAAGTTCAGTTTTATTGAGCAATCAACAACACCACCACCACCACCACCACCAGGTATTGTTATTGATTATGATCCCCGAATAAAATTTTTGGGAGAACATTATCGTTGCTATGTCCGTTTGTGGGTCCGAAGCAAATGGTTTCCGGATATTAACTTGATTTTCCCTTAAAAGATGTAAATAAATCTTATATAGATGAAAGACATTTGGAAGGACATGAAGCCTATTGTTTTTGGGATCAGTAGATTAAAAGTCAATTCGCTGCTGCTAAAATACACATTTTTGGGTAAAATTAGGCCGCTGGGTTTTTCGTTTGAATTGTTTCACATGTAGGCATCCTGGTGCCTGTTATAGCTGACTATACGGTTATTGATGATAGCCTCATTGTGACGTATTGTTGCTTACACCTACGTCATTATGAGTCCGGTGAATACAAGTAGTTGTCTAATTGGCAATCATACCATGTCTACTTATTTTTATATACGGGATAAGCATATTTTCTTTTGTTGAATTAAAAAGAAACTTATGCAAATAGGATATATAAGAAAAAGAAAAAAGTTTTTGATTTTTTCGATTTATAGGTCTAAGGTCAAAGTCACAGATGCTCAAACAACTTTTCAATTATACCAGGGTTATAATTTGTCACGCCAGATGCGCGTATCGTCTACATAAGACTCAACAGTACCGTTCGAAATAAAACATACCGAAGGCCAAATCAAGCACGAAGTCGAAGAGCATTGAAAATCAATAATTAAGAAAAAAAAATCTGAGGCGTCATTCTTGTCCTTGAGTGATTTCTTCAGAACACTGGTAAGGCGAGTTTTCCCTGCCTCAGAGGATATCCCTTGTATACTGGTTTGACTGTGGACCATACTACATAGCACGAATTCTTCAAAATATTTGTTTCTAGATAAAATCTCCTAACAATTGCTTTTTGTTTATTTCAAGAAATTCTATGGCGGATATGTGCCTCAAAAACATATTGTGTTGGATTAGTCAGGGTCATGAGGTCCCATACTCAATTATTTTCAAGGTTGGCCAAAACTGATAGTGTTTCTGTATATGTTTAGGTTCTTGAGCATGCATCATACATTTATAACACACAGAAGATTTGTTTAGATAGAAATTCCAACAGAATCTAGTTTTAGTTTAATTGGCTTGATTTAGTTTAATTGGTTCAACTTAGTTGGCTTGTAGATGATAATATAATTGTTCATGTGTCCTCTCCCCGATCATGCGGGTAAGCTAGATTCAGTGAAACCCTTGCTAAATTTTTTTAGGGTTGCATTCGATCTCTACATGTTCTGTATAGCATCACAGACAAACATATATGGAAAATTATATATGCCTACAATTTTATTGTGAAATATTGTTACAAATATATGATAAACTAAAATATCAATATAGTATATGATATGTTAGTTTATCAATATGAATCTATCGATAATTTTGTGAAATTGTAATGACTATTCCAGAAAAAAATGTATGGTCCCAGTCATACCGGCAATGCACATAAACAAATGCATTAAACAATTTTTAAAAACTTAAATACATATATACGCCCATGTTTTGAATGCAGACTGGCATACCAAAGATCCGACATTTACAGCCAAAAAGGCAAAAGATATTAAAGGGACATACAAAACTCAAAAATCAAACAGAAACTGACAAATCCTTGGCAAAAATCTTAAATCAACGAATTGACAAACAACAGTCTACGAAAAACACACGAACCCAACAAAAAATCGGGGGTGATCTGGAGTTAAGCAGATCCTGCTGTAAAAATAAACAAATAACAAAAACAAAACATTAAATAGAACACAGATCCACACACTGACGAGGCACATTAACATGTATGATGTTTAACTGGTTTGATGATTAATCAACCCGTTTTATTTATCCATTCATTGAAAAAGTGGGCAAATCAATTAATGTAAAACTATTTGGAACAGTCGTAAAAGATTAAAATAATAATAACATTCAAAGTTTATCTAATAAAATGTTTGACTTGGCTGACATTCTTTCAAAACTCTTTTTATCTTGGTTGATGTCCACATTCTAGTAATTTAAATTTTCAATCTAAATAAGGGTAAAGCATATTTATGAAGTTTCGTATATTCGCTGTATTTAATAGAAAGTGACACATGCAAGATGTAATTTGTAGATTTCTGTAAAATTAGTGATGTCTTGTTTTTACATTTTATTCTTAAAAAAAAACCAAACCCCAAAAACGCCGAATCGACAAAAAAAAAGCCGTGTTTTCCTCTTTTAGTTCTTGTCCTAGTAAATAGACTAGTACAAAAATAAGAATGTTGGCATGGCTGCCAACTATGCAAGGATTATAAGACTGTATGATAAATACAGTATACGACTAAGTGTTTTTATGGCGTTACTGAAATAGAATTATTATACAAGAATAATGTAAAGTTAATATGACTGGTATGTTTTGTATTCAAAACTGATATTGTTTTTCCATTTCGATCATTAGTAGAACCCGAACCAGAGCCCGAAAAAGTTGATAAAAGTAGAGAAAGGCTGAGAAAAGCGTAAGTTTCATGTAGCTCTTAATAAGGCAAAAATAATAATAAACATGTATTTGAATAACATTAAACATCAATACATTTTCAATGCAAAACAATGGAATATCGGTAAAATTTGCATTTTGTAAAAACAGTTAAGACATTTTGAAACGGGGTATTTCAATGGAAACGCACTGTACGCCTGTTATTGCAGATACATTCTTTACTGTCTATAATTTGATTAATATTTTTCCATATAGTACATTTTTTTGGTTTTATATAATGAAATTACAACCAATTATTATTACTTTCAGATTTCAAGGTTTTAGACTGGTGTACAAAGCAGTTCAGAGAAAGGACGGATGATATGATAAAAGTCGAATGTGCCATTACATTATTACATTATAATATATACATCTTACGTAAAATTTACATCAACTAATTTAGATAACAGAAAGCATTGAAATATATGAGCCAGTCCATGCAAAAGGTACAAAAGCGAAAAATTTGCGAAATTCTAAAAAGTGCGCATAATTATTGCTTGACTTGGTATCTATAAAACACCGTTACTTTTCTTCAAACGATTAAGCTGTACGCTATACACACCTTTCAGTGCTTATACCAGTACCCCTTTGTTTTGTTTTAGAATTTTCTCATTTATTCTTATTTCCATGTATAGTTTAAGTGTCTTAACTTGCCACTTGATTATGTTCACTTAGGTATTAGTTGAGTTGAGGCTCTCGCTTACAAAGCAGAAATCAATGCAATTTGATAGGAGCAACGGTTCGAATCCCGTCCAAGGACGGTTGATTTATATAATATTAGATAACTTAACTTAACTTAAATTTCAAAAACACAAGATGTCATCAGTTTTGCATTTTTCCTGTACGCTTAACTGCTGTGTTCCTTTCTTTAGACATAGGTAGAGATGATGAAAACTGTTGACTTTTTCTCCATATAGTGTTGTAAATGGTTTTATTTTGGATCGGTATATAGTATTTTTCCGGGTGACAAATGATTTTTACACTTGCCCAAGTACAAAAATTCAGATATTTCTATGTTTTTTACCATTTTAACTGACAAATTCGGGACAGAATTTACCATTTTATGAATGTTTACATTGATACCATTTTCTACAGATAAAATCGTTTTTCAAAAATATTTAAACGAACTTTAACAACGTGTCCTATAAAGTTTATCAAAAACACTTTTTGTACCTTTTCGCATAGAGTGTCTCATATGTGTATACAATTATTCATCAAATCAGATATTTTATTCTTTTTCGGCCGACAAAGTACAAGAGTTCTATAAATAAATTATCAAAAATCCCAATTTCATATATAGTAGCTGAATTTATCACTTATCATCTCTCTTTGTAATACGTAATCTGACATTTTTTCCAAAATTTGTTGTCAATGAATAAAAAAGTTGTCAGATGGAGGTCAGTTTGTCACCACAACAACCATTCAATTGTCATTATCAGTTTCATTCACTTTAATACAAAAGCAAAACACCATTGACCAAGATGATCTTAGTTCAAATTTAAAATATGTTGTTTAGTATAAATAGAAAATCTATTATCACTGCCAATTCATTGCCTCCATTTACCTATCATTTAATAATGGAAAACTTTTCAATTATTGATGTTAATTGTGTCGTTGTACTTATACTACATAGATAAATATATACTGCAAAAAGTATAACAAAAATACCAAACTCCAAGGCAAATTCAAAAAGGGGAAGTTCATAAAAACTGACAAAATCAAACGCTATCAATCAACGGAACAAGCGAAAAACAAATGCCATACACCTGACTTGGTACAAGTATTGTCCAAAGAAAATGGTGGGTTAAACCTGGTTTTATAGCTAGCTAAACCTCCCGCTTGTATGACAGTTGTTTATAGTTCCGTTATATTAACAAAATTGGGAAAGCAACCCAAACAGACACAATAGATTAATCTGACAATAATTTGGTTCCAGCTTCCAAAACTGTGTAAACATACATCACAGACATACAACACTACTGACTAAAAAATTAAAACAAACATACAAATTAATCTAACAAAGACGCCTATCAAAAAGGAGAAGAAGATCATCATATATGCCAGGATTAAAATTTTGTACGCCAGGCGCGCCTTTTGTCTACAAAAGACTCATCAGTGACTAACAAATAAGGAACATAATTGAAAAAAAAAATATTATTGATTGTTAATTTTTGAAGATTTATACACCTTCAACGGGCTATACAAAACACACTTTGCTTTTTTGAAAAAAAATATATTTAGCATTAGGTCAGCTCTTAAGAGTTCATATCAGGCTGATATCCAGTTGAAATTAAACAAAAGAAATGGAACTCTTTATTAGAGAAGGTAAAAAAGGCCAAGTTGGTATATTTGAATTTTTTACATCTGTTTCTATGGGCTTTAAAAGTTTAATGTAGGAGTAAAATTTAGGATTGTTCGCATCTTATATACGTTTTTTTACTTAAATTATATTATGTTACTTCGAGATATTTGTAAACTCTTAAATTAAAGACAAATTTTCACAAATCAGTCGATTATGGTAGGTACAATTACCTGTTGATTTTTTTGTGCATAAGCCTAAATTCCGCCGAAAAACAATCCACAGAAAGATAAAAGAATGATTTTTTTATAGCATTAATTTGCATCTGTGCCCCCCGGTGACATTTTTTGTGTGTGAAAAAATCGTAAAAATAGGCAATAATCTCATCGAAAAGAGAAAGTCAAGTACACCTTTTTATGTTGAGGCGTGTTTCAGTTGACTGTTGTGTCTTGAAAACGTATAAAGCGAACATATTTGATACAGCATTTCGCTTCCGATTCTATTAGTTTTATATATTCAGGCTACAGGTTGATATATTAACATTAAAAATTCACAGTACATAAAAATGAAATATACGGTCCAAGTGAAATAACTTTCTAATGATTCATAATAACAGAGAAGGTGTGTTTGATTTTACTAAAAGTACTTGACTACAGACTTTACAAGTGGATCTTAAAAATGCATAACTTAAAAAAAAACCAAATTTTTGTGTGTGTGGTATCTAGGAAAATAAGTCTTCAACCTCTGAAAATATTTAGTCTGTCCTTCCTCGAAAATATTCAATTAGAATGTTTTTAGTATTTTTTAAACTTTCGAAAATTTCCCCTGACAACCGATCAGAAAATTGTTTTGAGTTGACAAAAGGCCTAAAAGTACAATAAATGATGCTGAATAGCTAGTAGATACATTTGTCTTTTAAAATACAACTGTCATGTAAGAATCGTAATGAAGCTCTGTGGATAAATTGATCGGTTTTCATGAGCTAAATTGACAGCGCGTCATCTCTACAATGGCTTCCCTTTTCACAAATAAAAAAATAGGTAGCGTAATGGGGAGATAATTTTGACGAAGTAGAATCGTGACTGATATTAGTATATCTTTACTTATGGGAAAAAAGGAAAATTGTTCATAATGCGAAAAAAGACAAGTCTTCCTGTAATAATGTTGTGCACCAAAAATTAAGAATATTCATACAGTGTAAAATGTATAAGCCATAAAACTACACATCGGATTTTTCCACATAAATGGTTTTCAACTGAGAGAAAAGAAATAGCGTTCATTCATTGATACCCGGCCTCCTACGTTATCCGTGATTTATCCAGTACCTACTGTTTACTCCAAAAAGCTAAGCTAACAACAAACAACTCTAGAGCTAAGAATACTAATAAAACACTATAATATACATAAAATATACAATATTGTTCAAATTAACCAATTAGTTAAAATAGGGAAGTCAACTCTGTAAAATTATAGAGATGATATCTTTCATGAGTTTTTTGTTGTTGTAAAGAATAGCTAATCGAGACAGACAAGACAAGACAAGACAATTTATTCCAACTTAGGCATACGTATGGTGCTACAAGAGGATAACAATTTTACATTAACAATTACATAATTATACATTTGCAAGCAAGACAAACAATAAATAGATTAGCGATATCATACAGTAGAATTGAAATATACAATATTTGATTGTTTTTGTTTTCAAATATTTTGAATTGCAACGTGAATAAAATCTTATTTGAATACTACATTGTAACATGATACAAATTATGAAAATATCTTTTCTAAATGTCTTAAAAACGTGCACAGTTTTGTTAGAATTGTCACATTACAGAGCACGCTGGTTTTATCAAGCAATACTCTATTACACGCTCGGAAACTATCTAGAAAATAGAGACACTGTATTAATCATGTCAATTTTAGATTGGCGAAGACAAACAAAAACAAAAGCAGGAAGTATGATAAGACAAATTTTGGCCCTTTGAATTCGAAAACCAAAAAGTAGTATAAATCTACAAAATACATCCTTCAGATGTTTATAAGACATTAGTCTGACATATTTCAGTATCTATAGTTTTGAAAATTGAATTGTGTCTAACATATTAGCAATAAGGCTTCGCACTAGTCTAGCTTCCTGAGTTCATCGATTCCCCCAGTTTCTTTTTCTTACCTTAATTTTTCTTTTCCTAATCGATGTACTAGATTCGAACATCTGTAAACTACAGTCGCCTTAATTCATTTATCAATAGACTCAACATAAATTTCAATGTACTGAATGATTTTACTGGTTTTTCAATTAAAATAAAAGACCAAAATCGGAAATCAATCACAAGTTTACACTTGTAATACATCCGTCGTCACTGAAGACTGATACTTGGGCAATGTGAAATTAGATTGACTTAATAGTACATTTTTAAACATTGCCATTTGCTGTAAAGTTGCAATGCTTTTGACTACACCAACAACATATGCTTAAGAAGGAATTAAGACAGCACATAAGACAATACATAAGACAATAGTTTTCCTTGTAAGACGCAACCCTCTAAAAATTAATTCCTCATAGAAACACACCAGCTCTAGAATATAGTTACAGATCAGAAATAAATGCTCAATATGTATTATTTCATTCTTGAAATCAAATAGGGATATGTTTGCTAAAACAGGGACTATACAAAAAAAATTTACCAGATCGAATGGAATTCATGTGAGAATATCTACTAACGAGCAAATTTGAAATAAGGGATACAATAACCTCTCCTTCTTACAAACGTGTTATCTCAAATCTATCGACGAATGATAACTTAAACTACCATAACCTCATACAATTTTGTATTCAATCTGAGTTTCCAACAAAATACAGAGTAAAGTGAACTCTTGAGATGTGTTCATAAAGGCGACCTGAAAACTGGAAAAGAAATATTTTTATGCATTTTTCTTTCAACCTCGGGACAAAGCTACACCTTTCCTCAAACTATTCCGTTAATTCAAAAAATAATAAATGATGTTAGATGAAGAACTTCAATCTAAACTTTTATTGTCATCTACTTGAATATTCATTTATATATATGTAATAAAATACTTATTCGGTTAAAAAAATCCCACAAATTAAGAAGCATTCTATAGTTAAACATGTAAAAACTGTGTGATTCAATTCTTATATTTGTCAAATAGAATGTGTGAATAACGTTGAGAACATATTTTGTTTGAATAACATGAAAAATCATTACAGCTGAGAATTCCTAGTCGAGTGTCTATAAGAAATAAAAAAAAATAAATAAGTAAAGATGCTCACATACCCCTAGCCCTAATATAATGTTTAGTTTTATACTGAAATATTGTTTTATGTCAATATATTCTTTGTAAGAATGACCCTGATCTTCGACTATATGAATTGAATAGTGATATTCCTTTACCCACCCCTCTTTATACATTTGACATATCAAAGTAGGATTGCAATCCCATATAATACATACTGAAACCTCTTTCAAATTTCAATCATATTTTTGTTACTTTTACCTAAGACATAATAACCTCAAAATCACTACATATCTAGATCTCATTAAATGTGATAAAAAGTAAAATAGCAAAAATACCGAAATATACCAAGGAATATTCCAAAAGGAAAGTCCTTTAACAAATGGCAAAATCAAAAGCTCAAACACATCAAACGAAAGGAAAACAACTGTCATATTCCTGACTTGGTACAGGCATTTCCTCATTTAGAAAATGGTGGGTTAAACCTTATCTTATAGCTAGCTAAACCTCCTATATTATATGACAGTCGCATAGAATCCCATCATACTGACAACAATGTGTGAGCAAATCAAACAGACATGCAGCAGTTGATATTGTGTTATTTTTACTAAGAATTATATACCAATGAGCTAAGAAATGGAAGTAACAGATGAAAAAATCGATTTAAACGTGTTACGGACAACGGCTAACGGACGGACAGAGGTAAAAAAGAATCTTCATTCTATCGGAGAAAAAACAAAACTTTCATTTGCCAACCAAGGAATGAATGCCATTAATTTAGAAAATATCATTCTTTGTCAATCAGTCTAGTTCAATTTCTTTTCTATTTTTATAAATCA